GGAAGAGTCGCAAACATTCCTAGTATCAATATATAAAAAAATTGAAATGTCTTTACGATGTTTTCTTGATCTCAGTCAAACTTTAAGCACTTTTTCACCCTAATTTCCATTACAATATTGATAATAAAAGGTGATTCTAAATTATTGTTCCACTTTTGAAACTCTATAAATGAAAAACTATACAACTATCATCATGAGTTGAGGATCAATTGAAAGAGAAGATTCTAAAGTTTTGTTTGTCACCACATTGGTAAAAATAGTTGCAAAATTTGCCTCTACAGACATTTTTAGATTTTAAAAACGATTTTTTATTAATTACACACTTACACACTCTTACGTCTCTAAATCTAAAAACTTCATACGCTACGTTGAATTGTCAAAAGTTTTAAGTAATACTGCTAGGTGTCATTAGTTCCATTATTTACTACTCAGTCATTGTTGTCCACCATTATCGTATGCTACGAGGAACCTTCAAAAATCTAAAAGTGTTTTGTGTTTTAGAGTTTGGGACGACTTAAATAATCGAATGGATGTGTGCTGTGCAGCCAGAGGGGGGCACATGGAGCATTCATAGGCCATATTCTTGTAAATTTTTGTATTAAATCCCCTTCTATTGTGTACATACTTATTGACGCTGAGAGTTTCATAGATTTTAAATTGTATAATTAATTTAAAACCGTAGTTAAAATTGAATAATACCTTTAGAGGCTAATTTTGAAATTATGTTTACCAAAAAGTGTTACAGTCCACTCTTGGTAATTCAAACACTTAATAATTCAAAACTTTCGATAATTCAAAATGAAGGCTCAGTCCCTAGAGAATCTCTCAATATTTCAAATTTTTACCATGCATTTTGATACACTCGGTATTTCAAAGTCCAAATAGAGGGCAGGTCAATTTGTAACACGCAGTAATTCAAAGTTTCGTCGGAAAAACACTCTATAATTCGAAGTAACTCAGTAATTCGAAGTTCGTCGGTTGACACTCGACACTCTATAATTCGAAGTCATGCTGTAATTCGAAGTTTCGTCGAAAAAACACTCTGTAAATCAAAGTCACGCAGTAATTCGAAGTTTAGTTGGCAAAACACTCTATAATTCGAAGTGATCTCTTCCTGTTATAACAGGAAACTATAGAGTACAGTACATCCTGTTCCCATGGTAGGCTAGTGTTGGACGTTTTGATGTTTGTTTAGTTAGAGCAGTAGTCTGAGTTAGTTCGCTGACTTGTTTTTCTAAGTTGGCAATCCGATCTCTAGATTGCGCGACATCTCCTTGAGCACAAACGTACCTAGTTGTCGACAGCTGATAGTTCAGCTATTGGCGAAATATATAGCCCTAAATAACAGATTTCTTTGCAACTATGTACATTAAGGGGAGTCGCTACTGAAAAACTACCAACTTTGTAAAAAACTAGATTTTTTTTATTATTTTTTTATCTTGTTCTATGGATTGTAAGGTTTCAGAAAAACATAACATTTGGTATAATATATATTTTTATCACTGTTAAAAAAATATTTGAAGTGAAGCGTGCACACCTTTTTTAGGGGAATCAACTAACTTAGGCCTAGTATAAACTTCATACGCTGTTTTCCGCGACTTTAAAATTTTGTTTTTTTTTATATATAAGTTCTTATAACTTTTTAACTATTACAGCTATATGAATGAAATTTTTACCACACGATGTTTATACTATAAATCAACTTTCTGTGCATGGATATTGTAATTGGGTAAATAAAAGTACATGAAAAAAAATTTAAAAAAATTTATAACCTATAATTTTTTCTAAAACTTATTTTTGAAGCCATAACTTATAAACTAATTGAGAAAATAACATGAGTATGCACAGAAAGTATGTGCTTTCTTTGCTCTTTAAAATAAGATATCGAACAATAAAATTGGTTCAGTAGTTAAATAGTTATAAGAGATTTAAAAAAACCCAATTTTTTCCCGCCAAAAAACTTAAAAAACTCCAAAAAGTATGTAAAAAAATTTTATTTTTTACTTTAACGGCAGTAAATTTTTTTCTAAGACTAAATTTAAAAGTGTACTAAAATATGGTATGATGTTTTATTGTAACGTGCTGTACCTTTGTATGTATTAAACAAACTCTCTGTAATTCAAATGGTTTATTTTTCTCCCGATAAATCAAACTCTTGATAATTCAAAACTCTTAATAATTCAAATTTATATGCTTGGCCCACCAATTTCGAATTATGAAGAGTCTACTGTACACTAATCTTTAGAATTTCCTCTTTCAATTGATTTTCACCTCGTGATAATAGGTTGCATAGTTTTTCATTTATAGAGTTTCAAAAGTGTAACTATAACTTAGAATCATCCTGTATTAGCTGGCGGAAATTAAAATTATAATGTTCATTAATTTAAAATAATCCAAAAATATTAATTAGTAATGTATATCAGATTTTGGATCTATCGCACTTAATTAGCAGAGTAAATACAATAGAGGAGGCTTATGGTTATGGAGGTTAATCGTTAACTGGGTATGAGTAAATAACTAATTTAAGTTTTAGTAAAAAGACTATCAGTACGTATTTATAATTTGTGTTTTTATCTGAAATATTTCAGAGTGAGCAATTTAGCTGCGTAACTGAAAACTGTGTTTGGTTTCGATTAATCTGTCAATCCCCGGGTGGCGTTCATCAGGGACATCCTTACTCATTGGATGAACGTCATTCCATCGTTTTATCATTCGTATTTTTCATTCATATATCTTTACATGAACATACGTAAAGATTTTGTGTTATTACTGACAACACCCAATGCACAACAAGTAGGCTAGACATCCATGTAAAATCTAAGACATGTTTTGTCTGTTTTTAGTGCATAGTTACATTTGTGTACGCCAATGTTATAAAAATAGTTTGGCCTTCTTTCAGGGTTAACATAGTTCCACCCGCCGGCTGGTTACCGCGTAAACAAGGACCTACAAAAAATAACCTCGTGGCTTTATTAAAGTGTTTATAGATTAAAAATAAACTGTAAAATATTCACAAAGATCCTAACTATGAACTGGATGAACTGAAACTTCGAAATTGTTTCTTTAGGTATTTACAAAATCATTTTGAAAATCCGTAAATTAGTCTTTTTCACGGTGATTATAACTTCTAAATAATAGTAATCATTTATTTACCCCCAACCATTGCAAGCTCTGATATGTTAAGAGCATAAAAAGCACACAATAATTGAAAACTAATTAGTTTGAGAGTGTTGAGAGCTTGTACTATATGCCTCTATAGTACAAGCTCTCAACACTCTCAAACTAATTAGTTTTCAATTATTGTGTGCTTTTTATGCTCTTCAATTCCGAACTATATTTCAATCCATATAATCCACCATCTTGAATTGACCTCAGGCTGCCGGGTGGAACCCAATTAACAGAGTGGCCTTACACTATGTACAGTAATAGAACACAAGCCAAGGCTTGGGAAGTTTTTTAATTGGTTGATCTGGATTTACTGTAGGTATAATAACATACTATTAATATAACGGGCTGAAATATACCCTAAAATTATCTTTAATCTATAATGATTGGCACGTCTATAATGAGTAAGTCTATAGACTAGTAGGAACTAGTAAATAGCATTTCATTTATGAAAAATACTTGTTTTAATAATCAATTCATATGTTTACAATGCAGTGAATACTAATTTGACAAATTTTATGAAGTTTTTCTCACAAACAAATCCCCGTAAAGAAACTGTTAAACTTTCATATTCAGTTATGAAAAATGCAACATTATATTTCCGTTATGCTAAGGAGGCTAATGTGACAGACTACGTTTGTGTTGGGAATAAGAAACTCTGTGACACGCGAACATGTCAACACATGACACAATCCACTCACACAGACAAAGTTGACGTCATCATTAGCATACAGAACGGCGTTTTATTTCCAAAGCTTATTACAGTCACTGTAAAAAAGTTGTGTCTCGTGACACGAGGCTGGTTCTGTAAAGTTGTTGCTCCGACTGTACATTAACTTGGTTAATGTTACGTCACTTGTTGGATTAAATCGAGATTGTTAATGTTAACTCCTTGCGCGATTATTGTGTTAGTTTCTTTGCCTTCCTTATCGAGTTACGCGATTTTCTAAGTATTATTAAGGAGTATTTCTTACAACTAGGCCTATTTATTTATCATTAGGTTCAAATACAATTCAACGCAATACAAAACAGAGAAGGAGAATAGGGAGGGTTAATGATAATGAGGTGGGTAAAATCAACTTAGTAACCCTTTGATAACTCCAAAGTAGTACTGTATGCGTTTTTCAACAATCTCGTAATTAATTGTAAAATTACTAAACACATAGGAATGTATTCGTGGAAAAACTTTGTGGCAAAGACGACTACCCACGTAAAGATAACAATTACATATCTGTAATGGACAAAGGTAAAGAGAGTTTGGTTTTTAAATTTCCAAAGCCGTTGGTTTTTATATTAATATTCATTAAAATATAAATGGTAATGAAATGGGTTTCTAACGTATATTTGTATATATTTTAGGGAGATAAATATTATTTACTCATTGTGCGTATTCAATTTAACTTTTCACTTACTTAACTGTTTTAAAAAATTGTTTGGCTATATGATCTCATTGACAGTACATTTAATAAAATCAATCAACAAATTCCAATGCAGTGGTCAAGGTTTTAATTGTTATCAAATAACGTGTAATTTAAACCAATATTATTCATGTGTATAGTTTTATTTGTAAAGGTATTCTTAACTTGATAATATATTTTTGTGATGATAGGTATAAAGTTAGTGGCGATTTATGGTACACGAAAGTTTATTAAGTTAAAGTTTGAAAGCTTACTTTGCAAAACAAGGTAATTCCCCAAAACTTAATCAAGAAATGTGTGACGTTTACCTACTGTGTTATCAGAGAACAGCCTAAACCTGTTGTATAGCGCAATGCGTGTCCCCCCACCTCCCCTCGTATCGACGCGCCACCACCACTCTTCCACTCACCACTCGCCACTCCGCCACTGGCAGTAGGTGCCGGAGCGCGCTCTCGAACACATTGCACGGCATGTCAGGTGCGACCACACTCGACACCACTACTCCTACAGTGACAGTGACATGGATATTCGATCCTAGTTCGACCGGATAACTTTCGGTGGTGGGTCACTCATTTCCGTAACTCCTAGCGGTGAAGGGCAGTTTCTGTGTTTCTAACGGTTAGTGATTTAGTTTCTCCTTCTAGTGAAGTGCTACAATGAGTACCTCGGAGTACCTACACGCGGACGATCTCGACCACATCGACAGGATGGCGCTGAATGGAACTTCCATCCCGGATGTGTCGCAGGGTCTACTAGTGGCGAAGGTGACTTCCATGGTGATTTTGGGTTGTGTGTCGTTTTTGTTGGGGTGTATCCCTCTCAAGCTGTTTTCCTACGTAGGTAAACCCTCCCCGAGTAAAGGACACCTCGGACACTCTCACGAAGAACAACCCCTGATCCTCTCGCTGCTGTTGTGTTTCGGTGGTGGTGTGCTTCTCTACACGACGTTTCTGCATCTACAACCCGAAGTGAGAATAGAAATAAACAGATTGTCTCAGGAAGGCAAGCTCCCGTCTTTCGAGCCGCCTATATCAGAACTCGTGTTCTGCGCCGGGTTCTTCTTCGTGTACATGGTGGAGGAGCTGGTCCACGCTTGCTTGGATCGCAACACGCACCATCACGAGGACGAGGCTGTGCTACACAGGACCATGAGTCTGCGAAGATGCTCCAAGAGAGGGTCGTCCCACCACGACGGTACCATCATCCCTAGGGCGAGTCTTCACTCTGCTCCTAGCAAGACACCCGAGAACGGTGTAGGCAGCACCACCGCCAGCACACAAGGGCTCATTCCTACCATTAGCGGGTCCAAGTCTCGCAGTCCGCTGGACCCCCAGCATCGTATGACAGGAGGACCTCTGGACTCTTCTGTGATGATGAAAGACGACGAGTCTCTCAACCGCAAGAGTACAGCTCAAGTCGTAGCCAAATCGTTCAGAGGGTTCCTCGCCGTGTTGGCGTTGTCTTTTCACGCCGTGTTTGAAGGACTGGCGGTGGGTTTGGAAATGAAAACGTACAACGTGTGGTATCTCTTCGGAGCGATCGCCACTCACAAGTTTGTCATTGCGTTTTGTGTTGGGATGGAACTCGTATCTTCCAAAACGAAAACAGTTCTTGTGATTCTGTACATCGGAACGTTCGCTATCGTCACCCCTCTGGGCATCGGTCTGGGGATCTTGCTGTCGGACGATACGGAGGGCCTGAACGCAGCGTCTCCTGTCACCTCCATCCTGCAGGGGATGGCCGCCGGCACCCTGCTGTACGTCGTGTTCTTCGAGGTGCTGCAGAAGGAGCGAGCCACAAACAACCACGGAGGATGGATGCTTCTCTTCATCATCCTCGGCTTCATGGTCATGCTCGGACTGAGCATACTTGGTGAGTCTATGACGTATATGACATATGGATAAAATTACAAGAAAGACCTTTAAAATTGTCATAGAATAATGAAACCTTTCTTACAATAACTTAGGTTAACTTCAACCTTTGATAAGATCGGTCACAACTATAATTTCCTCTAAGACAGATTTTTATCTTAATATGGATGGCACTTTGAATGCCTTTAACTATTACGTTTCGTGGTTAACTATTTAAATATTAAAAATAAACACTCGCGTTAACAAAGAATTTTTTTTATAATAACCTCCAAGACTCTATTTTACAAATTTAAATAAAACAGTAGTTGTGTCCACAATACAGTTGTGTTCTATGCATAGTTTATCCCAAATGGTACTCTTTTTAAGTGAATTTAACATATTTTCCTCTCAATTCGCACAACCAGGCTAATTTATTTATAGGAATAAGTATTTCTAATGTTTTAGTTAGATTTTAACTTCCGTTAACTTTTAAATTTAACAGTAGGCCTAGTATGTAATTATTTTTCGATGTCTTTTGATTTAGCAAACTGACAAATTGAACAAATTTATATAATCTAAAATTAGCGTAAAACTGTTAACAAACAATTTTAAGCACTTTATAATGCTATTGATGCTAATTAGAACTGTACCATTATCAATCGCCGTAAAACATCAATGAAAGTATCTTACCATTGTTATAGGTTTAGTACTTGGCCATAAACTACTAATACTCTAGTGGAAACGTTCTAAAATGATTATGTTGAGACTAATTATTTGTTAAATAATTAGTGTATCGAACACTAAATACTATGCACTAAACTAGTGTATCGAAACAAATGTTTATCACCAACCCTCTTAGCGAGTATGCACAATTATAATACTGCTCCTGTCAATTATTACAATTTTATTTTATTTTAGAAGCTGTAAATTTAAATCATAAAACATCAATACTCTCTGTAAAGTATTATAAGTAAGAAATATTATCAATAAGCTCAATGGGTCACTCTAACGAATAAGAGGATTATCGAATCGATAATCGATTAATTAAACAAAACTTGCAACCACTCCAACGTTATTCAGCTCTAAAAGAAGATATTATTTAATTCGAGTGTTCTACCTTTTTTAACTTTTATCAAGCTTTACTATGCTATTTATTACCACGAGATTTTAAAGCGTTTAAATAATTTTTAAATTTTAATATAGTATCTACCACGTTATACGACTAGTTTGATAAGTACATAACTGAAACATTCAAACATTTTCAAAAAACAAATCTGGTGCGTAGGCTATTCTTCATCCTCATCAACTTTGAACCATACATTTATTTAGAAATACTCTTACAAAGAAAATACTGAACACTACTGAACCAACAACATTGCAATCTAATTGATTCAAAATCCCTTTCCCCTTAATAATTTTCACTGTAACATATTCATCCTTTGACTTTGTGATCACCGTGCTGCTTTGGACTTTGGATTGTCGTGTTTAAGTAAAGCTCTAATTACACTACAACTTCGTCCTAAAGTTACTTAGGACAAGTTATGTTCGCTATCAGTGCGGCGGATTAAGTGCACCGCCACTTTGTTGGTCGTTTGTTACTTAGTTAGGCTGTTAGTTAGACTTGTGACGATAACAACTAGGGCCAAGATGCTTTTGGGACAAACAACTTAGTTCCGAGTTGCCGTACAGACTGACAAAGTTAACTCAAGGAAAATAACACCTTAAACATTTTCTTTTCAATATTATTCACTCCATGTGTTCATGTGAGATTTGTTTTCACATTTCTTAGACTACTGAATAACTATTAAGATTCACTAGATCATACCAATACTCATTGAAAATATAATGACTTGTCGTCTGAGTACAACGAAGGAGCAAAATATGTTAATGTTCAATATAAATAAAGGTAAATGCTTTCGAGACAACAGAAACCATAAAACATTCATGTAAAATAAAACTGAACGTATTTAAACCATTATTAGTGAATAGTTAAAGCTACATTCACTAAATTATGCAAAGAACGATAAGAATTAGAGTTAATCTGAAAACTATTTAAAAATTGAGAGAATAAAACCGCACCGAATTGATATACTCTTTCTGGTCAAAAAATTAACACATTAAAAGCACCAACATTTTGCTGTACAGTGATTGGTGAAAATAATAACAATATTCTAGTTGCTAACTGTTATTGAGATTATTTTACGATTTGGTTAAATTCATAAAGAATTCATTGATAAAATGGCCATGGTGATATGGTGATATGGTGATATGGTGATGGTGATAAAAGCAGAAGACAAACGGAGGGAGAAAGCCGAGGTTAAGGAAAGTGCAAGTGGCTGACTGTGATCCTTGAGCAGCGTGCAGCTACAAACTCAGTGAATACTCTTAACTTCCTTATGTAATAGAAAGGAGTAGACTCTACTACTTTAACCTATGCTTATACCCTTCAATAGGACTGTACTGATAGAGAAACTCACCAAGTCGTCATCCAATACGTCTGTCATGAAATTACCTTATGAACTAAATTGTAAACAAACTCATGAGTCATCTGAGCCAACATATGTCTAGTTATGTATGTTTATACATATGTTTAGTTCATGATCTTGTGATCCTCTTTAAATACTACCGTCCAAATTAACGAACTCATAAAGTGACTTTCCCGCCATACGTTACGGAAATTGATCAGCAGGGAGTGCAAAAAGATGGGGAAATAAATAAGCAAAAAGGTTGATATAAACTTATGTCCTATCTCATTCCAATTAGCAAATGTCTGTCTGAATGTATTTTTTTTAATAAAACTTAGCTCCTTTTGACCCAAATCTGCAATGTATTTTGCAGTTTTAAGAAAAACCAACAGTTTTCTTGATATTTTAGATCAAATTTTTTAAATAGTTGTCATTATAATTCAGAATGAGAGTGTTTTTATATTCTGCATAAACATAGTGGCCAATAAGATAAACATTTTTTGCAGAATCTGAACACTGTAGCTTACACCATTAAGGAGTTATGAGTGTTTTTTGTAAGACACTAAACGCAACTAAAAATGACATAATATGTTTGTACATAGTTTTTTGCTTTTTTGACTCAAGGTATAGACATTAATTATGTTCCACCTTTTATGGACATCATGTATAATTTATTTTAACTAGTGACAACACACAACCGCCCCGATACAGATCCGCACTACCAATGTGTGTACAGAGACTGGTACTTTGAAGTCCTCGCTCTCACACTATATTCTTCACTCATCATGTTTACCCTATGCATATATTACATTTCTTTACCATTCAAATGAGGCTCTCTTCATACTATAGAAATCCTGCACGGCTTTGAATATTTCCTCTCGGAAGTTTGCTCGATATAAATTCATGAGTTTCTCTTCACACTTTGCCTCCACATGATGACTCCCGGGACTGACTGAGCTCACAGCTCAAAGTTGAAATATCGGAAGTCGTTTGATGTAGAGGAATTACTTAGCCTTAGAGATGGGCTCTGTAGCCTACTTATTTTTTGTTTCTTATAATATTTCAATTATTTTTTTTAAGTAGCATACCATTTGAGTCAACTATTATTTTTTTTATATTTACAATATGAATATTTCTTTTACCTACGACCGTTTTTTTAAGTACCCGTTTTAGTTCAGTTTTTAAAAATGAAAAATTTTACATAACAGCATTGTTTATTTTCATGACAGCATAGTTTCACTCATAACAACACGGGTAACGGACCAATGAGGTTCAAGAATTGAGAGAGAAGAAGTAAAATTGTAATAATTCGAACTTCAACTGATCAGCTGTTCAGGCCAATTTAATTGTTGAGTGGTGCAATTAGTGTTTGGTACAATGTTTTGTTGCATCACTGTCAGTGGCAATTAGAGGTTATAAACGAAAACATTCTCTCTAATGTGTGCCTAAACACTGTCGTAGGTAAAGTAGTGTACGCAACTCGCGTAAATAGTTTTAACGACACTCGTAGAAGTTTTTAAGGCACTCGCCTTAGGTTGTAAGTTGTAAGTAATATTAGGCTACTTTGTCTGAAAGATTATTTCAGTTAAATGTTGTATCAGACATAACTCAGAATTAGCATGGGAGATACTTCTTTTATTTAATTCCATGCGAAATGCAACAAGTGCGATACTACCGAATTCTATTGTTTCGTAAGAAATTAATAATAGGTTCCTAATTACCAACGATTTCATAAAATGTTTCAACAATATTAAACTGGGAACCAGATGTATACACAAAACACTAAACGAATTAAGTAGCCTTGTTAACACCTGAGTTTACAGCACACGTTTCAAAAAAAGCAACAGTCCCAATGACGATGGTTAAAAAAAAATATTTACAACATAAATTTTCTTTTCATCAGAAGTAGGTAAATTTCAGTTTACTTTTTTAGCTGGATTTTCAACAACTGTTTGAAACTTATGAGTAAATTCATGGATGAATAAGTAAATATTATCTCTTTCCATTACATAATGTTAAATCCAGTGACCTCAAGAAACTTTTCCACAAATGATTTTCCCCTTTGAGCAAGTTTTGTCAAAGGAAGTTATGAATAAACTAGCTCTCCATTCTCCACAACTCATGAAGTATTGCCGCAGGCTTTAGAATATTAGTAAGACACTTTACATTACGGAAGACACAAAGATGAAAACGAAAAGCTTTGCAATGAAAATATAAATATTTTATTAATGTTTTTAAGCAAGATTTAAGATTATGGGTTCTCTGGAGTAAAATGTGTAGTGAACGTAATTGTCTTCCTAAACTTTCAATAATTTTATTCTAGAATAAACTCAAATTACTTTAATTTTATTTATGCCTCTTTAGCATGGCTTCCCAAAACTAAAACGTTGTTTTGTTCTCATGTAATCGTGTTCAAATAGTTGACGCTGTAAGAAATATACGTTGGATTCCACACTCAATTGCCACAGTACAGCCGATGGGCATGGTATAACAAAGAGTAAGCATTTCAAACATATGTAAATCTTTTGAAGTAGTGAAAGTGCTCAGATATAAAGAA